TATGTGGCTGGTGCCTTAGCCGCTTGAGCCACAGTCGCCAAGCCAATGTATACCTTTAAAATTCATTACTGCTTTGTGGTTATTCTCACATCATCATATCAGGGTCTAACCAGCAAACAGAAATCACCCAGATTACTTAAAACAAAGGAAACGTAACGCTGGCAGCTGGCAGCACGTGATAGAAGAGAAGAGGCGGAGAAGCCGAGGAGCAAGGAGACAGTCAACCCCTGGAATAGCAACTTCAGGAAGCTGAAAGGAGGAGGTGGGGTCACCTGAGACTAGGGGTCTCCAGGAGAAGCTCAAGGATGTCTCTGTCCAAGGCAGAGAGGGAGACAAATACCCTGGATTCTCTCCTTCAGCCTCTCACCTCCTTGTAGTGCCTCCCATTGGCCAAACCAGCTGAAGACCAGCTGACACCAGCTTGGGAATTAGACCAGAAGTCAGCCCCTGCCATCCAGAGCAGAGCAGGGAAGGCGAAGGCAGGTCTCTGAGGACAAACGTCTCAAGCAGCAAGATCTCTCTTCCTGGGATTAGCCTTGTTTTGGAATTTATTTATGGAGATTTAATTCAGCCTTTCTGCATACCTTTTATACATTTAGTTGGTATAATAATATATTCATCCTTCCAGCCGGGTTATTCATTTCTTTTTTTTTTTGCTTCATCAGCTGTTGAATTACCTTGGAGATTTTTTTTTTTTTTTGAGACAGAGCCTCAAGCTATCCCCCTGGGTAGAGTGCTGTGACATTACAGCTCACAGCAACCTCCACCTGCTGGGCTAAAGCGAGTCTCCTGCCTCAGCCTTCCAAGTAGCTGAGACCACAGGCGCCTGCCACAACGCCCGGCTATTTTTTGGTTGCAGCCGTCATTGTTGTTTGGCTGGTCCGGGCTGGATTTGAACCCACCACCTTAGGTGTATGTGGCTGGCACCTTAGCCACTTGAGCCACAGGCACTGAGTCTACCTTGGAGATTATACATAGAATTAACAAGCCCTCAACCAATCAACCAGTTCACTGGTGTTTGAAACTAGTAACTAATGATTATGTTATTAACTACTTTCATAGTTAACGAAACACAAAGCACTTTCTTTTTTTTTTTTTTGACAGTTTCACTTTGTTGGGTAGAGTGCTATGACATCATAGCTCACAGCAACCTCAAACTCTTGCTCTGGAGTGGTCCTCTTGCCTCAGCCTCCCAAGTAACTGGGACTACAGGCATCTGCCACAATGCCCAGCTAGTTTGTCTATTTTTAGTAAAGACAGAGTCTCACTAGTTCAGGCTGGTCTCCAACTCCTGAGCTCAAGCAATCTACCTGTCTCAGCCTCCCAGAGTGCTGGGATTATAGGCATGAGCCACCACACCTGGCCTCAATGAAACACTTTGTAATACATAATACTAATTTATGCTGATAAAATGCTGTAAATAGTCATTATGATTCTTATTTAATAGAAGGACTATGTGGATCAGGGGGACTTTATGTCAATTGCTCAAGGACAAAAAACAAATGACAGAGGCAGACTGCAAACTGTGGACTGTCTAGTTCCAAATTGCAGCATTTTCCTATGATATCCTGCTGCTTCCTATCAGAAAGGTTTGCCCAGAGAGCACAGCAAGAGTTTTTCTGGGCTAGTTGGCTGAGTACAGGAGGAAGGAGGGAATATATTTTAACCTTCAAAATTTATGGTGACCTAAAAATTAAATTTTTACTTCTGGATATAAATGACACCCATCCAATGTCATTCTGAAGAATGACATTATCCCTAATGAAGAAACTACACTCTTGCCCTTTAAATACATCTAGATTCAGTATTTCAATATACAGGACTGGCTGTTCATGGGTGGCACCATGTACCACCCCAAGAGTGACAAAAGAGGGGAGAGAGGAAGACAGGGAGGGAGGATGTCCATGATTACCATATCTCCACCTTTCCTCAATACAATGCAGGACACCCAATGAAATTTGAATGTTAGATAAACAATCTGATAGTATAAGTATGATCTAATATTCAAATGGTGTCTTATAATTTGCTAAATCTGACAAATGCAAATTTATTTCCAGGTTTCAGGGGTAGGGTGGGGGGATGGTACCGAGGACAGGAGCCCATATGGCTCTGCTCTTGCCATCTGTGCCCTGTGTGGGCCCTGAGGTGCTAATTCCTGCACAGGTGCAGAAGCACAAGCAGGGTCTGGATGGGGAATCCCAGTGTTCGGCAAGCACTGCTGAATTCTGAACTGAAGTTTCTGTCTGTGGAAACCCTAGGGAGAGATGGCCTGGCCTGAAATATATGTTAAAGCTGATGTACCCAGCCGCACTTAGCTAGTGAGCATTCAAATCTGACCCAAAAATTAACATTAGGCATTGAGATTTGTAAACTCATTTGAAGCAAGGAAGGAGGAAGGTGTGGAAGAGAGTGTAGATGTGTCAGGCAGAAAGGTCAGTGAGTGGCTGGAATAGGTGAGAAGGCGCATGTCTGCCTTTGTGCCGCTGGCCCAGAAGACTGGGAGGCAGACAACAGGGCCTTTCTGGTGGATGTCAAGTAGGGGGCAGATGTAAAGCTGGGGCCAGACCCTTCCCTTTGATTCTGAGGAATGCAGAGCTGGGAGGGCACGTCCCTGGGCTTAACTCTCCCAAGAGGAAGCAGTCTATGCAACAGCTGACAGGGGAAGAGATGACCCTGGTTACTCATCCTGGAGCTCACAGAGGGAGACCCTGGGGCTGCTCTCCGCCTTGCCACTAAGGCAATCTGGAACCTTGAATAAGCCATTGTTATCCCTGGGCCTTTTTCTGTTCCTCAGAAAGATATGGCAGTGTGGGATATGTTACAGTTCTTTATGGTTCCTCTTAGATCTGAAATTCTGTTGGTATATGTTTAATTTCCAGCCTTCTCATGACTGCTGTTCTGTCTGTGTATGCTGACCAGGCTAGAGGGCTGGGATCCACACTTCGTCAATAATCTTTATTAGATCTGAAGATTGCCTTTCCGTCTCCTCCTCAGCGTTTCCCTCTATCCAGGCAACTCATCAAAACCCTTTTTTCAAAACGCTGTATTCAAATGAGTTAACCAATGAGATGACACTTTTCTAAAAGCCTCGAGTCAGCACGACCCTCAGTAACTCTAGGGGAGGACAGGGTACAGTTGGCATTTCAATCCCGTTTGCCCTTCCTTTGTTCTCTTATTCTCTCAATTTATTGAGCTCCAGGATCTATCAGGCAGATCTGAGTTGCATGAAGGGAAATTTCAGCAGAAGTATTACTATAACACCTGGGAAACTGCAGGTGACTTGAGATCTGGTTTGTCAAACCTTTTGCCTCTGCTTTCTGGGCTGGACTGACTGAAGCTTATCTGTCATTCAGCTTTCCTGTCCATCAAATAATAGAGGTAAACAAAAATGAGTCCTTTTCAGTGGTTTCAGTGACAGGGAAAGTGTTGGATAAATTGAGGACTTGAACGATCTGTGGGTTCCCCCTCTGTGTAGCTGTGGGCTTCCAAGACCCATGTTATTGGGGACTAGGTCCTTCCACTGAGCATGCAGAGTCCTCTGGGCCGTCCGTCTCTCACCTGCCTCCTCCTTGCCTTCTGTCCGCAGGGCTGTCCTTGAGATGGAGTTGCTGCCCTTTTGGCTCTGCCTGGGTTTTCACCTCCTGACATTGGAATGGAGGAACAGAAGTGGAACGGCCACAGCAGCTGCCCAAGGGGGATGCAAATTGGTGAGTTCTCCCTTGAACTCTGTGTTTTCTGTTGCTCTTGTCCTGACGAGCTCCAGTCTATCAGGAAAGCTGACAGATTGTCAATCAAGAAGGGCATGAATGTGTCTGAATCACTCTGTGCCTCCCTAGCTCCATGCCATATGCAAGCTGCTCTTTAACCACAAGTTTTTGAGATGCTGCCTGGGAGCCCTGCACCATCTTTTACAGACCTGCTGGAGATAGGAGACCCCAGGCAGGCTTAGGTCAGCCTGCTGGAACAAGAACACACTGTTACAAAAATCTGAGCTGAGCTGCACTAATGGTATTAGAATCTCTGCGTGAGGCACATTAAAGCTGGAGAAGCCTTGCCTGGGAGTTTGTGTCTGAGCCAAGAGCAGATGCTTCCACAGCCCTGCAGAGCAGGCTGCCATGCTGCACTGCACAGCCACAGCCTGGGCCACGCTGAGTCTCAAGAGGACCCAGACGGTGGTTACCTGAGCCCAGATAGTTAGCTCTGCTTATGTGTGGAAACAGATGTGGGTCACAATTGAGCACATTTTAGCAATTCTTTTCCTTTGCCTGTAACTCAATGATATCCAAAGTCTGCCCAGGAAACACACATTTATTAAATATTCCTTGAGCCCTATTACATCCCAGGCCCTGGGAAGACAAATTGGATGTAATACTTAAATTCAAGAATGTGGTCTTAAAGCTGATTAACCTCACAAACCCAGCTGTCATCATTTTTAACCACTTACAGTAACCTCTAACCACTATACTAGAGTATACTTCAATATGCTGGAGGGGTTACAAGTCAGAGTGACCAGGTTTTTTTTTTTCTTTTGATACAGAGTCTCTGTCACCCTGGGTAGAGGGCTGTGACATCATCGTAGCTCACAGCAACCTCAAACTCTTGGGCTCAAGAGATCCTCTTGCTTCAGCCTCCTGAGTAGCTGGGACTATAGG